AGGAGTTGTGGTACTATGAGTGGTAGTCGTCGTCGTCGTCGTCGTCGTCGTCGTCGTAGGAGCAGTACTAGTAGTATTAGTAGTAGTAGTAGTAGTAGTAGTAGTAGTAGTAGTAGGAGTAGGAGTAGCAGTAGTAGTAGTAGTAGTAGTAGTAGTAGTAGTAGTAGCAGTAGAAGTAGTAGTAGTAGTAGTAGTAGTAGTAGGAGTAGTGGTGGCAGTGGTAGTAGCAGTACTAGAAGTAGTAGCCCGACCCTTCAAGCTGGAAGTATGTAGGAGCTGGCTGAAGTTCTGCCACAATCTCTGGCCGACATCCCGGCAGACCCAGGCGTCTCAAGCTTCTTAGGGGTTCAAGGTAAGGAGGTTGAGCTGGTCTTACTGCGACGATGCTGTTTTGGGAGTTCCCCATATCATAAACTATGAACCTTAAAACGTGAGTAGCAAACAGTATTCCAGTAAGAGCGGTCCAGGATCGAGCAACTTCATGTGAGGTCTTGGGTGGTCCCTATAAGCCTTATGTCAAGTTTGCGGTTCTGGGTTGAGGGTTCGTCCGGAGGGGATATCTGCGCAGCTATCGGGTTTCAAGATCTCGGGCTTTGAGATTCAGGTGAAGCTTACTGGTCAAGTCTGTCATGTCTTTGGAGTTCGGGAGTTCGGGGACCGAGTGAAGGCATTGCTGCGGGCGGGCTTGGAGGGCAGAGCGCCGGTCGTTGAAGGATTGGATAGAGGCTTTGTAAGTCTGAAGTATCCGACACCCTGCACCATCAAGATCCCACAAACCCCCCCCAAAAAATCAGGGGTAGCTGAGGGAGGGATGGTTTCCTTGAGCCTCCTGGGTCTTGGATTTTGCCAAAGCGAGCCCGAAAAGCCTGGGCTCCACCAGCAACCTCCATCTCTCTTGAGATGCTGGCTCTCCCAGCAGTTTCCCTTACTTAGGGTGAATTGCCGCACTCAAGCTTCGGTTTAGCCAGGAGGGTTTAGGGAAGGGGTTTAGGGCTCCAGCCGGGTCTAGGGAAAGGCTCAACGTTGACAGCTGCAGGGCAAAACCCATGGCCCTGGAACCCTGCATCCCCCGTCCGGAAGCCTGGAGCCCTGAAACCTCAGCAAACCGCCCTCGACAGGCCACAAGCAGTTTCTGGACAAGCCGCTCTACAGCTTGCCGGAGGCGTGCCCTAAGGAGCCCGCGAAGTTAAAGCCATATTCTTTCAGGGGCCGTGGAAGCTTTACAACGCCGAAGCCCCAAAGTTCTGACTCGAAAGCTGACCTCCGGAACTCCTAAACCAAATATGCCTTATATCTACTTACGATGAGAGCTCATTGTGCCGTTGCACTTCGGAACGTTGCGAGAGGCAGTGAGCTTGAAGAGGGTCTGGAGTCTCAAACTTTTCCTTTTTGTTGGATACTTTTGAGACTCCAGTCACCGAGTACTGAGTTACGAAAGCATGAGGCGAGAAGTATGTGTGATGAGAACTCTGGAATGAGTCGAGGGACTGTTTTATGCATGCATGAAGCTGCCCCTGTACGACCTCGCCGTGAGCATTGTTCTCAGCCATGCGAGAGGGAAAACTTATGATACTTATGATGACAGCCTCCGAAAAATTAAACCTTAAGAACCCCGAAACCTTGTCTAGCTACTATGAAGGACAGCCATAAAAATTCTCACGAGGGGTAGTGCCAGGCACCGCGAGGTTCTTTGGTAAATCCGACTTCTGCTGTTCGGAGATTTGAAGCCTCAAGCTACTAGCTGACGGCCCACCTTTGGTGAGGTGCTTTCAGAAGATGAGAACAAAAGCTCCTGTAGCTTCGGGTTTATTTTCGGGCCAATCAGTGACGTTTCAGCGCAAGCAACCAAACAGATAGCCAGATTACTGGCAGGGTTCGCTAGTGTTCTAGGACAAGCTGAACCCTCGGCAGAGAACGCTGTTGCAGACAGAATGTACGCAAGAGGCTGCAGAACTGTGATGGGGCATCGGCCCAGAACCTATCCAAGGGGCTGCAGAACCGTGATTGTACGGGCCCCTTGTGTGAAGGGTGCCGGGAAGCCTAAGAACCCAAGCCCCAAAGCTTTACAAGCCAGATCCGAACACGTTTAGGGTTTAGGGTTTAAGGTTTAAGCTTTAGGGTTTAGGGTTTAGGGACGCCAAATCCGGAAGGATTAAGGGCTGAGGGTTGACAGGTGGAGTTTCTGGGACTCTTCGACTCAGGGTTTGGGCCTTCGGGGCTTTCGGTCAAAGGATTAGGGTGATCGTGAAAGCCTTGAGTTTTGCAAGGCCTGGGCTAAGTATCTCAGAGCTATACACCTTGCAATAGGTGAAGGGCTCAGGCGCAGGAATCCTGCATGACTCTTCAGGGCTGTAATGATAGTGACTGATAGTCACGCAGGGTCTGATGCTATCAAGAGCGGCTTTAGGAGAAGGATTTGTAAGGTGGAGGGGGGGGGCCCAGCCGAGCCTCAAAGGTTAGAAGCCGTTGCAAGCCGTGTCCAGGGCTACTTGGATCCCCAGTTTACAACGGACACGATGCTGCTGGACGGAGATGAGACCTCATCCTCAGATGGTGCCGGCCACAGCAGTGCTGATTGAGTTGCCGAAGCACTTACCTGCTTTTAGCCCTAAACCCTGGAACCCTTTGGCACCGAGGCCTTCGACCTGAATCCTTTGACCCTAAAGCTCTTGAAGCCTCGAGGCCTAAGCACCTCGAGCCTCAAGCCCCGTGCCCGCAGCCCAGAAGCCTGGAATCTGCAGATATCGCAACTGGATGCGATATGGTCAGGAAGGACTAGAAGTCTTGGGGTCCTGGACCCCATTGCAAAGCTAATTCAAACCACCAAACCGACAAGCTTTGGGAAATCCACCGTCCGGTTTTTGGATTCGGGAGGCACAAATTGGCGCTTGGTAGACAAACTGCTGCCACAAATCCGAAACCCGGCAATCCTCTTGTGATGCAACGCAACGAAGTAACTAGTCTTGTTTGCAACCAGTGCTTCGGCAACGGACTGCAGGGTCCTTAAGTTGATCTCAAACCCGCTACCGAAGGATAAATTCTTACGGACCCTCCGCAACATCACGGCGAAACAGCAAGCCACGCCCAAGTACTTGCCCCTTAGAAGACGCCTTACGGTTCGGACTTGTATGGTTGCCAGAATCTTGGGGACATTCGTGTAGAGCATGTGCCAGCACTTTCAGTGATCTTTTCGTTGTTTCCGGGTGGAACGAGCCCCACAGATCCCAGTAAACGCTGCAGCAAACTCGGACAGATCAACCCAACAAGCCCCCACTAAACCCGAGCAAAACCTACCAAACCCGTGTAAAAAAAGCCTTCTAAACACTTGCAAACCGTGGCCTAGGCGGCCCATCAACTGACGGGCCAGATCCGTCGGCTTAGCCTGCTGCTGCGTAGCATGCCGACCCTGTGTTCCATCCAAAACCCGGGCCCAAAACCCGGGCACAAGACAGATACGGATCTGCCGCTGTAGGGCTTCAGGGATTTAGGATTTCAGGCTTGAGCTTTTAGGGGTTTTTGAGTTTCCAGGCTTATATAGGAGGGTGTGGAATAACGAGTTGTAGGCAATTGAATCAATTGGACTCGGGCTTAGAATTTCAGCGTAGAGTTGGGAGCCACTGACTAGCCTCTACATATACATACATATATATATATATATGTATGTGATGACAGCATATGCCGTCTCGTGCCAGAGGGAATACGAGCATAGGAGATTCAGTTTCAGAAGCAACTCAATCACCGGGTGTTCACTCGAATCACTTGTTGCGACTGTTGCTGCCGTGTCTTCGGGTTTGCATGTGGCTCTTGCGGTCCTGCAGCCTAGAATTGCAGACAGTGCTACTATCGGCATATAGGTGCCCTCTAGCCGGCTGCAGCTTCGAGACTGTGGTTTGCCTCGGCCATTTCAAGTTTAGGCGGTTTAGGTTTCTTCTAGGTATCGGGATTCTGGGTTTAGGGCGTATGGCATGCGGAATGCAAGAGCATGCCATTCCTCCTTGTGCGTATCCGCGTTGGGAAAAAAGGGGGCGTGCAGAAGGCCGGTGCCGATGAAGCAGGCGCTGCGCACTGTCTTCTGGGTGAAAGGCTAGAGTTGGTCTGAAGAAATCCGACCGATGTGTCCGATAAGAGGAGCCGAGCCTTATGCAGGTACCCAGCCCCGAAGTCATGAATACCGCATTTAATTAAATGGGAAGTCAATGCCCAAACCCCTAGACGCCAGAAACTCCTGCAAGCCCTGAAACCCAAGAGACGCGGCAGGTCCGCAGCCCCACACCCCTAGCCTCCTGCAACGTCAGTCGGTTCCAGGACCCAGTGAAGAGAGCTGCGCTCTTGGCTGCGAAGGCCAAAGCGAAAGAAGAAGCAAATGGCAAGACGGAGGAGGCGTGCAGGGTGCTATGCTTCACGTTCTTCCGGTGAACGAATCATTCGCTAGCATTCCTGCTCCAGGTCTTGATTTGTTGCCGCTACCACTCCGAGCCTCATGCCGTTGCATTTTCGTGTTCTGGTCTTGCTGCTGCTGCTGCAGAAATCTTGTCTTGTCTCTGCTGCTGCTGCTGATGCCGCGACGCAGCGTCTTGTTTCGGATTCGCCCAGGGAGCGCGCTTGTTGTTACGTTGTAAGGCCTACAAGGGGCATCGTAGTCCACGAACCATGGGAGGACCTATTGAGTCTGATAGAGACCTAGACTTTGGACCTAAACCCTCAATCCGTAGCCTACAGCTTGTAGTCCTCAGTTCAACCCAGCACACCTCGCTGGTATGCGAGAGGGAAAAATCGTGCCCCCCCTAAACGTGTCAGGGGCTTTGGTCATGGAAGGCTTTCGACCCCTAAACCCTCAACCCTGGATCCTTGCCTGCTGCGTGCGAGAGTGAGAGCCAAAAACCCTGAACCATTCAGCTGAGATTAAGAGCCAGGCAGAGGACGGCGAGAAGGATCCGAAGAGGAGGAAGCTCTCCCCCGAGAACGGCGAGAAGGAAGCCGAAACCAAGGACGAGGTGCTGCGGTTGGCTAAGGCTTCTCCGTGGTACTTGCAGCTACCCTCCGTCGAAGCCTTCAGGTCCATAGTCATGGAGGGTGTAAGGTTGTTCGAAGGTAGTTGGGGGTTTAAGTGTCAGGAAAAGGGGGGGGTTGTTGGGGCGGAAGGCTTAGGATCCTTAGGCGGTGGAGTCTTTTACATAGGGTTGGAAAGACGGGCTCCTCATGCAATTGGTGAGCTCGGGCTCAAACGAAGTGTTCTGGTGTTCAGCAGTTTGCAGCAGGCGAGACCTCACAGCAGTTTTCGCATTCAGGACGAAAGGTGCAACCTTATGCGACCTCTGACACCTCAAGCCCCCAATCCTAATAGCCGTGGTGTTCAGAACCTACAAGCCCTGAGACCGGACGCCCCAGGGTTTGGGGCTTTTTCCAGGGCACGAAGGAGCCTAGCCATACAAAGTCGCAGAAGACCCGGGGCAGCAGGGGCCCATAAAGAAGGCTCAGAAGCGCGCCACTCGTAATGGCAATTTGTCGTCAGGACTGTGTGCAAATCCCTGGCTTCTGGGCTTGTCTTACCGCCTACTGCAGCAAAATGACCCTTCATGCTTGTCTGCTAGTCTCCCGGTCAAGTGAAAATGCAATCTAATTTGCCCTGACAGTATAAACCCTAAACCCTAAACCCTAAACCCTAAACCCTAAGTATAGGTTCCGATGATATTGAGAGGCCTGCCAGGCCACGCAACCGACTCACCGTTCGCCGTTCGCGTCAATAAAGGTCATAGCTTCCCCCCCCCTCCCACCCCAAAATAAAACCCTGAACCCGTTTAGGGTTTAGGATTTAGGGACCGAAAATTTCTTCTTTGCTGGCTGTGAGTGTCGTCCCAGAACCAGCCTTCCAGCTGCCGAGCCTGAAACCGCCTGCTCCGCGCTTTGAGAGGCTAAAGAGACGGCCAAAACCGATGAGACGTCCAAAGAAGCTGCTGTAGATGCGAAGCAGGACAGTGAGACCTCAAATCCAAAACCCGTAACTGCCCTAAACCCTAAACCCCAATCGCCCTCTAAAAGTCGAGGCTCTAAAGCCGGAAGGCCTAGACCCCGATAAGCCCTCGGTTCGGATCCCAGGTGCAGTTTGGAGTACCTGAAGTTTGGTTGAAAGGTTTAGGGTTTAGGGTTTAGGGTTTAGTCACTCGCAAGATCTCGGAAGAATCAAGCTCAAGTTCCTGCTTTGATTTTTCAGTGTTCAGGAGGTTTAGGATCACAGGATTGCAGGGATTTGCGTTGAGGAGTTTGGAGCTTTTTTATTGTACCTGTCGTGTAATCTAACACCCCCAACCCCCCTTCTGATCATTACGGCAGCCCTGACACTTGCTGTAACGGCGGTTGTGTTCAGGGTGTCGGTGTGTCCGTAAAGTGGTGATGACACATCCCGATCCGGAGACTAGCCTGGCAGCTGGGATCAGGCCAATTTGCAATATAGACTTCCTAGGTTCCTGAGTAGTACCCTTTTGCCCTTTTTATTGTATTTTCCCTTATTAAAACTGAATAGCAGGAAAAAGGGTACCCTTATTATGAAGGGGTCACTCAGGAACCTAGCTTCAGTCTCGCCAGTGCCCGAGGACGCCCCAACAGAAGCAAAAGAAGAGACTAAAGAAGAAGCAAAGGAAGACTTGGAGAAATTCACGGTGGCTTTGCTTTGCCGTTTGCATGGCAGTTGAGGGCGGGTAGTTCTTCGCAAGTGGCACACATCCCATGTTGATCACCAGGGACATGGGTTCAGCTGTACTACCTTCACGAACCCTCCAACTCCGTGCATCTTTCAGTCTTAGCTGCAGGTACCGCAGCTCAAGGATAAGCTTCGGGCTGCTGGCCTCACGGTGTCCGGCAACAAGGCAGGGGCTGGGAATGGCCGGAGGCAACAACTGTCTGGTGCTTAGTAGGGAATGGGGGGATGGGTTATAGGGACTACTATAAGGGACCTTCCCCCATTCCCTACTAAGCACCAGACAGACAAGGCCTCATAGCCGTGAAGGCCCCTATAACCGTTTTCCGCCTTGTTCTCCAGGCCGAGTCCGTAGCCATTTTGGCTCAAGAAGCATTACGGTTCGAGCGGTGAGC